AATAACCATTTTATTGCGGATACACAAAAATATTACAAATTTAACATAATTATGATTTTTTATAGTTTTTCTTTGTTGTGTATTTTATTATGCATTATAGTTTTGTTGGAGTAACTAAAATTATAGCAATGTAATGCATGTATAGCAACATATAATACATATGTATTATACATTTATTGATGTAACTAAATATATATTATTATAGTCCATATGTATAGATATGTGATGCTCCATTGTTCAAGTATCCGATATTTGTCTAAATTATGTGACGAATGAAACATCGGTCGAAGAAATATTTAAGAAAATCGTTTTCTTTTTTGGAAATGGTGTGACTACACCATTCTCCCGCACAGCGCATAAACACTGACAATTACATTTTTATTTGTTTTTAGTGATGATTATAAAAATGACAAAAAAGAAAAAGCAAATTAGAGATGTTCCAAAGAGAAGTAATGGCGACCACGTAGGTCATTTTTCTTTAACGTACCATAACCTTCTTTTTGAATTCAACTTCTTTTATTAATAATATTATATTTTTAATCAAAATATAAATATTCTAGTTAGATATATAAAAATTAAAAAAAAATGTTTTAAATGTTTTAAACAATCAGCAATATCAAAACTAGATCAAGATATTACACTACAAATTTATAAGAATCAAATTAATCTAAGACAAAATATGATTTTATTTATTTTTGTTCATGAAAAAATAAATTTTTGATTTTTCTAATCAGTATTACGCAGGATTACTAGACATATTTTTTACCAATACTAGAATCTCAATCATGAATGTACCAGAACGAGGTTTAGGAAAACCCTGATATGTACTGGCCCTTCCTTGCTTCATATTGTTGCTCCTGCTTCATATGAATGTCATACAGGCATATCTTTAGTAAACTAGGTAATAACTCTTCAAAAATTACAAATACCTTGAATCTAACTCCATTAAAAATATAAATCAATTATCTAACTTTTTATAAAATTTCACCTAATTCCAAGGTTTCTAAGACCTCCATCGAATGATAAACTTCTGATGAATTTATTTTGTCCAACTTGAAAAATTACATATCTTATGATAATTGTTACTTGTGCGGTTCTTTTGACTTGAGTGAATGGATATAATATGGAAGACTTCAAAAACTACAAATACAAAAAAACTAATTCTTATGGTGCAAAACAGTAATAAATTACTTAGATAAAATAATAAAATTTGTAGAAATTTTTTGAGAAAATTTGGAAATATATCCTAAAATGAGATTACAATTTGAAAACTACACCTTGTTTTATTTTTTTGGAAACTACACTTTTTCATAAGTTAATCTACTAAGTTATCCTTACTAATTATATGAATTACTACAATACCTAAAATAATTTTTTAACTTTAAAAAAAGACACAAAAATGTTTGTATAACTTTCGAAAAAGAAATTTAGCCAATTGAAAACCATTTGTAAAGAAAATATAAAGAGAATTAGTATGGTTGTTAATCAATTGGCGAATAAAACAAAAGAATCATATGATATATTTAAAATTAAAACCTAGACATCGTTGTAACAGAAGTATATTGTACAAACAAATCTGATTTTTCTTATTCTAATATGTGTTGAAGAAAAAAAATGATTGACATGAAGGAAATTTTTTATGTAGGTAACTCTTAATATCAATTTTGTTTTGAGAATATATGGTCTCAATGGGAATTGTATAGAAAAAAAAACCATCAACGTGAAAGATTATATTTTTCTCACATGTTTATCAACGAAATATCACATGTTTATGAATTTATCCACTAGTAATTACAATTTCTATGTAATTTTATAGTTAATTGTTTTTAGTAACTATGTATTTTTAATTATTATCATGGATACAATAGTTTTTTTACAATTAGAAAGAGTTAGTTTTCAAAAAATTTAAAATATAAGGGAGATTTCAAAAAATTAAACATAAATAGGGTATTTGACAAAAAAAAGGGTATTTTACCAAAAATTCCTAATTTTTTTGTACATACTGACTGAAGTGTCATATGATCATCGCAATTGTAATTAATGGCGCACAAAATATCAACCTTTTACTAGCAAATAAAGATCAATTCCTTGTGCTAGTGGCAAACTTTAAATGTATAAGCCATATCACTACTAGAGATTCTCTAAGTATAAGACAACAATAGCGATAAATAGGGGTCGAAACCAAAGGAAGAAAAGACAAAGTCAAAAGTAAAATTAAACTATAAGAAATTAAAGAGAACTTTTGGGTTTTTATAAAAAAGAGCTCATTATAGAGAATACTAAAATTAGAACTTTATGTAAGGGAATGATTTTGAAATACTTTGGTTTGCAAGGCATGGTAGATTTTGGTTCAAGGGTTAGGATGTATAGACGAGATGAAGTGGTTGATTTTTTAAGTTATATTCTCATGAAAGGACCTCTTTATTCGCATAGAAATTTTTATTGTGGAATTCAACTTCCACGCCATTTATACACTAAATCGTGAACCAATTTTTATATAACAAAAAAGTACAAAAATTTCGACAAGAACCTCAAAATTATTCTATAATACAATTTTTTGCTAAACAAAATTATTCTATGATACATAAGTAGCGATTTCAAATTATTTTATATATCCGTAGATTAGTGTAATTTCAGTCAAAAACTTTTATTTACAATAATGG